TACCCCCCCTCCCCGGCCCCCACCTTCTGTTCTCTGTTCTCCTTCCTTCCCTCCCTCTCTCTTTCAATTTGATTATTAACTATAAAGATTCAGTTCTCCATAGCAGCTCCCGGCACTAGTATGCTAGTGCTACAATTCCTCATTGTTCTACAATTATTTTTTTATCAAAATAATGCAAAATTATACATAAAGAAAAACAGAGGTTTGTTTCTGTTCTTCATTTAATTTTGTTAGAATCAGTCTTGTTTTTCAAACATTGCAAATTGTAACCAAATACATCTTTAATTAATTAATAGATTTTATATTAAATATAAAGATTTTAAGAATTAATCAAATAATCAAAAGAAATTACCGCAATTCTGCAAGAAGGGATCGCGCTCGCCCCCCCCCCTTATTTGTGGGGGATAGTATTCCCTTTAAGCTATTAAACTGTTATTTCATTTTTTTAAAGTTTTAATAAATAAATAAGTGATTTAACGACTTTAGTATAAACACGTTTTTCATGTTTGTAGATATCACATAAAACGTGATTTAAAGTGACAGCCTCATTTACAGAGGTGACCATCAAACCCCTGTATCTGAGTAATGATAAAGATGATGTCAGTTTTCTGTCAATTTCATGCATGTCGCTGCAAAGCATAAATGTGCATGGACACTAATATAGAGAAACCACAATTGAAGATAATCAAATTTTAGCTAAACAAAGAAGGATATCTTGTTCATTCTTTATTAGGTTTTAAAAAGTACAGTAAACGGCCTTTAAGTTGTGCTGACGCTTTTTTTAAAGAATGGATGATATTGTAGAATATGTTGTTTATATTATTTACAATTCTAATGTCTTATTTAATCATGCATTAAAATGTAAAGATTATGATTAGGTCATTTTCCAATAATTGAATTTTTCTTGAATTCTTTAATTTTAACAAGTAAATATGTTTTCAATTAAAAAAATCCTTTATATGCTTGAAAATGAATTCAGTTTATGAGGAAGAAAACAAATTGTAAAAAGTGAAGGTGTTCAAATATGCAAAATATAGTCCTTTTAAGGATTAGATTAAATAATTTTTTGTAGGTGTGCCGAAAGGATATCGATTCCGGCAGTCTAGAGGCAGCAGCATTGATGGCAGCAGCATTGGTGGCGATAGCATTAGTGGCAGAAGCATTAGCGGCAGTAACATTGGTGACAGTAGCATTGGTGGTAGTAGCATTCAAAGCAGTAGCATTAGTGGCAGTAGCAGTAGCAGCAGCAGCAGCAGCAGCAGTAGCAGTAGCAGTACCAGTAGTAGTATCAGTAGTAGTATCGGTGGAAGTAGCAGTAGCTCAACAAAAGAAGAGGTGAATTTGAAATTTTATCCCATTTAAACCTTTTCTTCAAAGCAAAAGTTTCCTGAAAAAAAACAATGAATGATTTGCCAAAACTTGGCCAATTTGAACTGTTAACAAAATTATGTTACAACTTTAAAGCATTTATTAGGCCTTTGGCCAAAACCACAAAATTAACAAATAAATTAAAGGGTAAGCTTAATTTCATGATGACACTGCCCAATTCACAACGGAATTCTTGGAACCTTTATATAATCAATAATGTGGAAGATATTGTAGTTTTTCTAAATTTAAATGTTAAATTTTGATAATTTCGATATGCATTTCTGCAGTAGAAATTACCCTTTTTTAGAGAAACCAAAATTGAAAATTATCATGTTTCAAAATGTTAAACATGTATACTTGTTCAGTCAATGAGTTTAAGGGAACTGGTGTGAATCGGACATTGACATCTTTGCATGGAAGGTCATATGAAATTACGCTTACAGTCTCTTCAAGATCTTTCCGTAAAGGCTAAAAAAATCTAAATTTTGTCCATAATTTCTTTCGTTATATTTTATTCATGAAACAATAGATGTATATATTTACATTACAAGGAAAGTCTAGAAAAACATTGAAATTCATTTTTAAAAAGACTAAAAGTGTGATTTTAAGTGATCCTTCATACAGAGATGTCAATGCCTGATTCACAACGGTACCCTTTTAAGCTGCTTGGTTTGATAAATGATGAATTAGAAATCCATTTTTATCATTTTGAAAACTGATTTCTTCAATTGCATGGTTTCACTATAAAAGTGACTTGCCACAATTCTGCTGCAGGAATCAACAGAATAAAATACTTTTGAACCTAGAAAAACGACAATATCTTCCATATTATTTATCAGATATAGGTTTCAAGGGTACAATTGTACATCACTTGAAATTCCACTTACAGCCCTTTGAAACCGGTTTTTTAATAATTTTTTGTTTTTGTGATTTAATGAAATCTGAAAACTAGGATAACTGTGTGTATTTTTAAGAAAGGCTAGGATTAATTTTCAACTGCTAAACAATCTATCTTTCTATAGAAAATTGCACCATTTGTAATAAACACTTTGGTTGGAGCTCCTCCCTATTCGGGAATGAATCAGAATGTGGTAACGGTAAGTAGTAATTAATAGATAATTTAGTAAAAAATAAGCTTATTTATATAAAAAAAAACTGCGCTGTAAATTTATATGCAGGGTTACTCACAGACATCTGTACGGTGTCTAGACTGTCTGTTTACTTAGGTTATGATTCTCCATGCAACTGTTTCTTTCCTTGCCAAATCAAAAAATAAGAAAGTCTTAATTTGCCTTGGAAAATCTTTAGATCTTGTCATAATTAGGTAACAGTCCTTTTTTTATTGTAGAAAAAGGAGGAATATGTTTTACCAATAGTCGCTGCACCTTCACATACTTCGGAGAATAATTACGAGGTAAAGGAATTAAAGGTTTCCCAAAGGCCTTTTCCCAAGGGCAACTTCCCAAGTGAAAATTTCCTAGGAGACAGCTTCCTTAATATGCAATTTCCCAAACGGCAACTTTCCACACGTACATTTAGCATTAGGTTAGGCATTCTGAGGCGCCGCAGGCTGCAATGGGGACCGAGCGCTGCTCCGCTTGAACAGGGGGCGAGCGCTGCGGCTAGAATAGACTTTGGAAGTTGCCGCTTGGTAAATTGCACATTTGGGAGGTTGTAAATGAGGGAAATACCATTGGGAAGTTTCTGCTTGAGAAAATGCCTTTGGAAAAGTACCTAACATCGAATTGAAAACTAGCTACAACATTTTCTAATCCTTATATCTTTGTACCATGCTGGTGCCAACAGCTTGGATATTTTAAGCCATGATTAGTGGATCTAACAGAATTTATAGGTTAAAATATCTAAGGTCTAAGTTATCAGGCTGCAAAGATAGAAAGGCCAGAAAAACAGTGAAATAATAATAAAAACACATCATAATACATATATAATTTCAATCATCTACATGGAAAAAGAACAGATAATGTTACGTTTTCTCCTGAAGTTGAATTGAATTTATGATTGATCATTCTAACCAATATTCATAATCTTATTTCATTTTTGATTTTATAGAAGTTCTTTGAAAGAAGATAAACAGGTTACAGTTATCAAACATGATAATCAGTTTGAAGTTTGTCTGGTTCAGTCTCAGAATATTCTCTAGATTTGGAACTGAGTTTTTGCCACAAACTCAAATATTCTAATCCCTAAATCTTTGCACCGAGTGTAGTGTAAACCAAAAAAATTCAAAGTTTGAATACAGTTCGGAACTTTTTTACATTAAATGTTTACAATAGTCTTTAGCCTTGAGAATTCAGAAAGATAAAAATATTGTTTTTAAACTAACCATAGAAGAATGCAATTTCTACAATAACTCTTTTGGTTTTATTATTCCTGATTTGGTTTTTTTATTTTTAACTTATCACACAGTAAAGTTTATTTTGCCTGTTTTCTTTCCCTTTATTGCTATTGAGAAGCTATTTGCATCAAAACAAAAAAACTAGAGGTTTAAGATGTAGAGATTTGAGTTAATCTATACATAAATGTAACACTGAAATACCTAATACTTACTTTAATACAGGGAAAGTAAAGGATATAAATAAATGCCTGTAAACATCAAGAAAAGCTCAAGTATGAAAATCTTCAGTTTTCTCGAAACTAAAATTCGAAAAAAACTTCCCTGCTAGCTTGAGGATGATACAAATAGGGATGGGCAATAGCCAAATTCGAATTTTAGAATGTTTTATAACAATATAAGAAGGTTCCAAGATTTTTAAACTTTATTCTATAGAAGTTTGCTTTTATCAAACATGCAAATTTGTTACCCTAGAAGAAAATATAAGGCAAAAATTATCGTTTTAAAACAATCGTTTTTGGTTTTTTAAAACGGTAGTTTTTGGTTCGTTTTTGCCTTATATTTTCACATAGGATCCAAATTTGCATGTTTGATAAAAGCAAACTTCTACAGAATGCATTTTTAAATCGTTGGAACCCTCTCAGATTGTCGTAAAACCTTTTAAAAGTCTAAAAATATATCCTTTAAAGTTTCTGTAAAACGATTCTAGCTATTTTCCATCGCTAAGTACAAACAGCTGTTCCTAAACCTGGCCATATTTCGTTTATAATTTAAATTTGTCTCCATGTTACTTTTTGCAGTACGATGGTTCATTAGAATCATGAATCTAAGAAAAGATGAGAAAAGATAATCTTCTCAAAATACAAAAAATGTATTTGAACCCTATCATATCACAAGACAGGATTTAAATAAAAATTACCAAAAAATTTATTTTATAAAGCACTCAATTTTTCTTTATTTTGAAGAAAAAATAATCCTTTGCACATATTCTTAAAAACAAACACTAATTTTATGCCAATTATCTCCCCTTTTTTCTTTCTTTCTTTTATTTTCCGTTTCCTTCTTTTCATTTTTTCATTTTCTTCCTTTTCTGTCTCAGAAAGTGTGCCCCTTCTGTAAACCCCCTTTGGGGGTAAAAGAGGGCCACGTGCCCCAGTGCCCCCCCCTTGCTTGTCTGTGATGACATTTTACACTGCTCTAATTGTTTTAATCTATCAATTGATATATTACACCTATCACATTAAAGTTTATCTAGGCAATTATAGCTAACAGTGCAAATTTACAACACCCACTTTTGCGCATTCTTCATTTATGTCTAATCTTGACAAAGTTTAGTAAAAGCTATAAATTAACATTTAAAATCTTTTTTAACTTTTCTACACTTTTGATTTTAGGAGAAAAAAGTTTTTCACTCGACTCCAAAAAATTTATTAAAAAAATTGGAAAGTAAAAAAGTGAAATATGTTACAGAAAGACACTAATCACATTTTTTTGGGGGAAATAAACACTTTTCGAGACAGATAAGCTCGATGGCATCTTCCACAGTTTTGATCAGATTATGGTTTCAAGGGTACCATTGTAAATCGCGCATTACCATCTCTATACTATCCATTGTGCGATAAGCGCGATCTACTTGCAAGAAAGGTTTACTTTGAAAAAGTTTCCCCAACAATTGCCTAATATTCCTTTCATTCATTGCAGAAAACAGAGAAACATATTAAACCCTTAACCAAGATTGTAACTTCCACAAATGTGGAAGATAACTTGGATGATGGAGAGGTAGAAATTTCTTTCATTTGGAATTAGTTTTTATTTTTTAACATTTAGAGTCAGCAGCAATATTTTCAGTGCTAAACATTCCAAAATTCTCAAAGGAATTGAGTATTTGCCGTAAACTCTCAAATTTTCTAATCCCTATTTCTCTGCAACCTGATAGTGTAAACCTTTGAAATTTTAAAATTAGATGATTTGATCTAACAGAATTCACAGCTTTAATTATTTAAGGTGTATGACATTAGCTTGTATAGATATAGGGATTAGATAATCAGAGTTTGTGACAAAGACTCAATTCCTTAGTTAGTTTATATCCAACAGGTTATTCAAAAGACAAAAGACCAAATCATACATTTTGAAATTATCAAATTTAGATTTAGGTAATAATTGAAGTCTCATAATCAGCACAAATATTATATAGATAGACCATTATGTCTATAAGCATGACCATTTAAAACTATTTCGAAAATGAAAGGTTTGGATTAACAAATTTTCTGTATTAAAGGAATCATAGTTTGTGACAAAGTCTCAATTCCTTTGGAATTTCTTTCTTTTAATTTAATTGTTACCATGATTAATATTCAAACATTATCTTTTTGAAAAATTACTTTGAATTGATATTAACATTCGATAACAAACAAACGCAACATCAAATAAAATAATTAAAATTACTTAACTTTAAAAAATTATTCTTTTTGAAAAGGATCTATCAGCTGGAATACCTCCTGAGGTTGCTATTGAAGAAGTTAACGCAATGGAGATAATGGAGTTCCTCAGGGTTCTATCTGAGGAACCACATATTGCAGCAGGAGTCAGAGATAGGTACAATTTTAAGTGCTAAAAGGGAATGTGTGCTATCAATAAAAGGGAATGTGTGCTATCAATAAAAAAGTAAAAAATCAGACAGTATGACCCATGAAAATGTGGATTGAGAAGGCGACATTTAATTAATCTTTTGTTTCTTCAATGCTGTTGCAGATACCAGTTTTACCAGTAGCTTCAAATTCAACTTGGATTGTGTACACTGCGCAAATGCTGTGTTGATGCTCGTCTTCATTTTCCACATTTTTATAGAATAAAGAAAATTGAGAAGATTGTTTGAGACCCATTTTCTCATGCTAGTTATTTCTTGTAAAGTTATGAAGTTGAAAAATATTAAAATGAGCAACACTTTTCTGAGCTGGAAACTTATGTGTTGTATACTAATAATCCAGATTTTTCTATCTTGATATCCACAGGGGGGATTTTAAATTTTTAGGAAAATTTGCCATATCTTTTTTTATTTTGAATATCTGCAATATCTCTGTTCTCCGAATGGTTGTACGCATAATTTCCTTGTTTCTGGTCGGCTGTTCACTGGATACCTCATTGCCATCTTCTCGAGATATCGAATAAAGATCAAATTATTCTGCAGATTAACAAAAGACCACAATCATGCATTGATCTCAATATTTACAATACAACAGTTCCCACCTCAAGTCATCTAAACGTACCTGTACATCAAGAGAAAAAAATGGTCACAACATAAAAATTTTAAGACAATTTTTCATTGTGAATCATAATTTTAAAGATGGCTAGCGGATTGGATTGAGAATAAATGGAGAGAATTTGGAATTACTGAAATACTACGTCCTACATACAATGCTCTTTTATCCTACCCTGATCAGAAAAACCCTAACAAAATATCTCTTCTCAATCAAAATGGAAAAGAGGTATGAATAAAAAAGGTTATAACTTTTGCATTACTTAAGAAATGTAAAACTTTCTGAAGTATTCTGTTTACTGTTCTTTAAGGTATGGGAAATATGGGGTTTAAAGGCAGTAAATTTATTTTGATATATTTTAATTTATTATAACAATAATTTGATATGAGGATCTCAGAAATAGTTTTATTGAAAAAATCTAATGGTTTTTAACATGTATATTGAAATTTACCTACACCCTACGTTCAACTGACAAATTCTGCAAGAAATGGCTTAATTGACACAATGATAGCTTTGCAATGTTATAAGCAGCTGTAAATGCAAACTAAATTATTGGTTTAAGTTGTTAACTGTACTAATTTTGTAATTCAATATAAAAAACCTGGAAATTTTCCATTTGGATAAAAAATTTTGGTTTTTATCATCAAAAACAAATATATAGTATAAGAACAAAAAGTATATACTACCAATATTGATCCAATCTATAGATGTGGCAGAGTCATCACATGGAGAATGTGACAGGCCCTGATTTTCATCCTGATTTTATTCATGCATTCAATGCATATTCACCAAAAGGTAGAAATTATTTCTTGGTATATTTGAAGCTAAAAATAAATTAATGATTGATGCTATTGTGAAATGGCAAAATTTGTGGAGTGACTTTACCAGCGGCAAGTTTTTGAAAATCAACAGAAGAGTCCATTGTCGATGTTGAACAAAACTAGTGGTTAAACCACTTCTCTGCTACTTGTAGATAAACGGTTCAACTATGTCATTTTTTTCCAATAATTAAATCTGGTCTCAGGTTCAGTATCAGGGGACCTTGTCTATGTGAACCTAGCTGAGGAAAAGGATCTAACACAGTTGAAAGAAATGGGAATCAGCCTAGTTGGGAAAATTGCAATAACAAGGTAGAAACATTAAATGGGAATCCATCTTGTGGGGAAAATTGCATTAACAAGGTAGAAACATTATGGGAATCTGTCTTGTTGGGAAAATTGCAATAACAAGGTAGAAACATTATATGGGAATCCAGCTTGTGGGGAAAATTGTAATAACAAGGTAGAAACATTAAATGGGAATCCAGCTTGTGGGGAAAATTCCAATAACAAGGTAGAAACATAAAATTGGAATCAGTCTTGTGGTGAAAATTGCAATAACAAGGTAGAAACATTAAATGGGAATCCGTCTTGTGGGGAAAATTGCAATAACAAGGTAGAAACATTAAATGGGAATCCGTCTTGTGGGGAAAATTCCAATAACAAGGTAGAAACATAAAATTGGTATCAGTCTTGTGGGGAAAATTGCAATAACAAGGTAGAGACATAAAATTGGTATCAGTCTAGTTGGGAAAATTGCAATAACAATTGGTAGAAAGTATTAAATAATGAATGCTAAAAAATGAAATAAAGTGGAAAAAGAAAAATTAATGATGAAAAATGAATTTTTGTTGTTGAAAATGTTTTAATTGGTTTCGGTTTGTTGCAGGTTAGATATTCATGAACCAAGTTAAATAACTGTGTACCAGACTAGGAACCGTAAACCATGAATAATTGTCTGAATCATGATTCATAGTGTGCATATTGAAGAATATACAACAGTCCTACATTCCATCTGAAGTGCTCAAGACTCTATGAACCCTCATTTTAATTTACTCTGAAATGAAATAATATTGAATAGTAATGATAATAAAATTCAGGACGCACGACAGATTAGGTCTTTATAAGTTGATGGTTAAAGTGGGAGTGAAGGCTTCCTCTCTGCTTTAGAGCTTCCTCATGCTGTGCGCTCGTCAGTTCTCTTCTCTTTGCGCGTGTCGGTCCGAGCAGATTTAAAGGGGCTATTCCTGAATATTTAGATTGAACTTATCTATCTAAATAGCTGTACTAAGAGAGTATAGACTTTAGTATGGTTTACCCATACTCATATGCCGCACACTTCTTTATGATTAGCCATGTTTAATTTTGGTCATAAGAAGGTTGGAAAGTTATTGTGATAAAGAAAACATTGTTCTAGGTAGATGGCACAAGCCATACTTGAAAGTTCTTTTTCAAACGTCTAAGTCTAACGTCTAACGCCTAACGTCTAACGTCTAACATCTAACGTCTAACATCTAATGTCTAACGTCTAATGTCTAACGTCTAACATCTAACGTCTAACGTCTAATGTCATTTTTCCCAGATTTGTCTTATACCAAATTTTGTTACAGATATGGTGCCATTTATCGAGGTGATAAGGTTAAGAACCTGGAGAAGGAAGGAGCTGTCGGGGTTATCTTCTATTCAGATCCAGAACAGGTTAAGAGATTCTTTAGAAATTTTGGATTACAGCAAATCTAGATTTTTCTTGATTTAATAATATGATTTTACTTTGGGTAGGTTGCTAGATTTGTCTAAAAATGACATTTGCATGAAGAATTAAAAAGCCAACAATTATTTGCTGTATTTTTACACTATTTTATTTATCTAATTCAGTAAAAAATTCTCAAATTTAAATTCATCTGCTTTTAGGAAAAATTTTATGAAATGTGAAATTAAAACTTTTTGTAAAAATCAATATCTGTCAAAGATTTTTTAAAGGTAGCTCCTGAAGGAATTAATGAAGAGCATGTTTATCCAAACACTTATTTTCTCCCACCCTCTGGAGTTCAGAGGGGTTCAGTATACAGAGGTATCATCATGGATCAATTAAAACAATTTAAATATTGCAATCAAACTAAAACACAATAAAACTTGTTAGAGTTAATCAATCAAAATACTGGTCATCAATTGGAGTAAAAAAATGAGGTTTTTTGCTAATTGGCATCCATTAATGAAATCTTTAATTTGAAATTATAGGAAATGGAGATCCTTTGAGTCCTGGCTGGACTTCTATCCCTGGAGCTTATAGAAAATCTTTGAATGAATCAGAAGGACTTCCAGGTCAATATTTTAGTTGACAAGTAGTTTTACAAGTAGTAGGTATAGTTCAGCATTTGAACTTTACTCAAATACATTAAGTTTGGTCCCACGTTTGAAAAACAGAATTAGTTAAACTGATGTAAGAACAAGTGCACACAATTTGGGGCATTCAATCCAAATACATCCTTGGCTCAACCCCCCATAAGAGAGTCAAAATTGATCACAATAAATCTTCATGCTGTGGATCTCTGCTATGCCAATAGGTATTTTAATACAATATTTACTCAGAATTAAAGTGAAACTCTTAGCTTTACCTCATTTCATATATTTCAAAAATGTATGTCAATAATGTAGAACAAAATAGATTCTAAATCTTAGATCTTAAGATATTTATGGTGCAGGGAATAGGCTAATGTTATTCCCAAGATACTCCAACTTCCCTGGTGAAATCCCAGGAAAATCCCCAGTCTATACTAATGTCCCAGAAAAGATCTGTATCCAGTTCCAAGAGAACTTGTCAGTCATCTGCGAAAAGGGAAAGGGAGAAGAGAAATGAACAACATAAAAAAATTGAAGAATTAAACGCATTTTTGGCCGTGGAGTGCAAAAAAATTTTAACACTCAAATAGAATTATTCCGCATCATTATAGGTATATACAATTAATTGTAATAATGTATGTTAAAGTAGTAAGCTATTGTAATGATGAATGTAACAAAACCTAACTATAAATTAGTATGTATGCAAACGATAAGCTTTACTAAAATAAATATTTAGATATTAATCTTCATGCTGTGGATTTCTGCTATGCCAATAGGTCTTTTAATACAATATCTACTCAGAATTAAAGTGAAACTCTTAGCTTTACCTCATGAATATTTCAAAAATGTATGTCAATAATGTAGAACAAAATAGATTCTAAATCTTAGATCTTAAGATATTTATGGTGCAGGGAATAGGCTAATGTTATTATTTTTTTTTAGAAAATATATACCCCTTTTTTGTTATCCAGGTATCCCCTGTCAGCCAATAGGCTATGGTGATGCATTACAGCTTTTGAGCAAGCTGGGGGGTGCAGAGGCCCCCTTGAAGTGGCGTGGAGGTTTTAATAATATCAGCCACAGACTTGGGCCAGGCTTTAATAAAATGTACGAGGTAGACATGCTTAAATAAAGAACGAATGCAATATATAAGGAAAAATTACAATTTTTTAAAACTTTTTGGGTTTTTATGCATTTTTACTAATTAAAAAAAACTTTTTAGTTACTCGAAAAACTGTTTAGTTTGGGTTAAGCTGTGATTCAAAATCCATCGTTTATGAATCTATCAATCAATTCCTATCCTTCTTTAATTCTATCCATCTATATTTTGATTATATCTGAGTTTAATATTTCCAAGTCCAGGGTTGGAAAGTGAAGCTGGTTGTGAATAATTATCTACAAGACAAGAATGATTCTAATGTTATTGGGGTGAGTTTGTAAAAGACATTTTTAATTTTAACGAAATTTAAAATTTTAAACTGAAAAAAAACATTTTTATTTTAATATTTGAACATCTTTCAAGAAGAAAAAACTACAAATTTATTTCTTTCTAAAAGATTAAAAGAACAGAGTTTAAGCCACAAACTCAAATTTTTTAATCCCTACATCTTTGCAACCTGATGATTATATTTCAAACTTAGAAAATTTGATCTGACAGAATTTATAGTTTGAAATATCAACAAATATCAAAATATATCAAATATCAACATGGTGCTGCAAAGATTTAAGGATTGGAAACTCAGACTTTTTATTCAAAAATATCACAATCTTTAAGCAATAGCTTTAAAATCCTTTTAAAAAGAGGAAATTAAGATTTTTGTAATTTGAATAGATAATACGAGGGAGTTCTGAACCTGACAAAATTATAATGGTTGGAAATCATAGGTAAACCTTATTGATTTTTTTACCATAAATAAACTGGTTAAAGTTTTAAAAGTTGTTCAAAATACATCAAATTTCTTTTGGGCAGAAGCAATGATTTTCTGACATGTTAGAAGGAAATCAGGGGCTTACACTGGATTATAGTCATGAGTAGGCAAAATGTTTGCGCGAAGCGTGAAATTTTTTTGCCCCCCCCCAACTGTGTATGCTACTGAGCTGCTGATAGAAATCGAGATTATTGCTTAACAACCACTGCCCTCTAAAGGGACTACAAACATAATCTTAAAGATGATCATGGGAGATTCACAATGGTATCCTTTAAACCTTAAAGGTACTGTAAAGGAAAAATGAATTGGGAATAGGCTGAAAGCTAATCATTTAGCTCTTGATCGCGACCCATGTAAGTTTATCTGATGTTCCTGTCTAAATTTGATCTGACAGAATTTATAGTTTGAAATATCAACAAATATCAAAATATATCAAATATAAACATGGTGCTGCAAAGATTTAGGTATTGGAAACTCAGACTTTTTATTCAAAAATATCACAATCTTTAAGCAATAGCTTTAAAATCCTTTTAAAAAGAGGAAATTAAGATTTTTGTAATTTTATCTATTAAAAATAAAAATAAAAATTATAATATAATAATTGGAGAAAACCTAAGTTACAATTAGGTTTCTCTAGGATATCTTCGTTTTAAGATTGGTTGCACATTTGCTGAATTTGATCTCTTTAAATCTACTATTTCTATACTAAATTGTATATATATGAATTTTTGTATAAATTTGACACAATTTTGTATCAATATCTCGAGACAGGAACATCAGAATAACTATACCCATTTCATTTGTCCTTCACAGTTCTTTTAATCTGATCCTGATCGATAATGTGAAAGAGATTGTATTTTTCTAGCTTGAAAAGTGTTTCATTCTAACAATCTTCTCCATTGTTTCTGCAGCAAGAAACTTGCAAGTCAAATGATAGAGCAGTATGAAAATTATAAATTTGATTTTAGAAAAGAGAAAAGGTTGAAAGGTTATCATTGTAAAACAGACATACCCTTTAAAAATCTCTTTTTATTAAGGGATGCATGGGGGTATGGTACTATGGATCCAAGTAGTGGTACAGCAGCTGTTATGGAAGTTGTACGGGTTATGGGTTCCTTGTTCAAGACAGGCTGGAGACCTCGTAGAACTATAGGGAGGGAAACTGCTTGCTCAGAAACAGATTTCGAATTAATTAAATTAATGAAAAAGCTCAAGATTATACAGTCATAACCAGAAAACTCTGGAATAGAAAGACGGCATTATAGCATTTCTGAAGTGCATTTGATCTTGTTTAAAGCATATGCTTTATTTGAAAGTTATTAAATTACTTATTAAGTAAAATGGGTCTGTTTACATTGCACATTTTCTGTGTCTCATGTTCAGTGCGCTATTAAAAGTCATAACTTGAGTTTAAAAGTCGACTTCCTATTCCAGAGTTTTCTGGTTATCATTGTAGGACTTAAATCTGCCAAACTAAACGAAAATTCCTCATATGTGAACTTATCACTCATTCAAGATTTATCATCTAGTGATGTGCTTTCAGTTGGTTCATTTTTGGGTCATTTTTGTCCTATATTTTCTTTCAGGGCCAAAATAACAAATGTTTTCTTATTTCTTATTCTAAACATTTGCATGTCAAATTTAACATAAAGCAAAACACAAACTAAAAACAATCTAAAAAAAATAAAAGTCTTTAAATTCACAAAGAGAAATATTTGTATCCCACAGAAAAGTTAGATTAAAAAATCCTCCCAAAGTGGTTTAATATATTTTTTTTCAAAATACTACGCACATAGATGTCATTCAAAACTGTTTACAAATTATCATGTTTAGGAGTTGAGGTTTTGTAAACTTTTAATTTCAATTCAAATTATTACAAGCTTGAAGGCCCTAGTGTTCGCTTCTTGGTGTTCGGAGGAGTATGGGTTGATCGGATCCACGGAGTTTGTGGAGGAAAATATTCATATTTTGATGCAAAAGTAAGAAGACATTCAAAAACTGATTTTATCTTATTATTTACCAACCAATGAGAAGAGACTATGATATTCATAAAAAGGAATAAAGGTTTAAAACTTCCTCTTACAAGCACTACTATATAAAATCCATAGATAAATAAATAAACATAGATAACTTATGTACGCTAAATCATCAAGAATTGTACAGTCCGCGAACTCATATTTCTAGGGGTCAAAGTGTACTTCGATGATAAGCGGGGTGGTTTGGTTTTTTAATGGATTTTATAATAGAGTGTAGAATAACTCTGGGAATGGAACTATTTGAACAATATTTCACTGAGCAATATATCTTATTGACGAGAACGGAAGAAGGACATGAGAAGGACTAAACTAACTTAAATTTCTCTCTACAGAACTCATGTACACCACAAGTACTCAATGACATAAGAACAGCCAGTGTTCACAACCGACCTAGTTAATCTATATAATAGGAATATCTTTAAAACATCTCTGTACATTTATATCTTTCAAGATGAAAAATGTCGTCTTATGTGCAATCTATTTTTATCTATGATAAAATCTAATAGGATACAATCAAGTATAAACTTTTATTGTCTTAACTGTAATATTGGTTGTTTGATTTAAAAATAATTTATCATTCTATATTAATTATTTAATTTGAAATGTTAATGGGCATTACAAATGAATTGTTCAAAAGGGTGTTGCAATTTTAATCTTATAGATTATTTTAAGGGGTGATGCAATGTGAATCAGACATATTGTAATGTTTAGGGGTGTTGTAATCATGGATACATAATATTTTAATATTAATCAGATAGAATGTTCAAAGGGGTGTTGCAATGTTAATCAAATATTTTTTCAGGGGTGTTGCAATGCTTAATACAGACACTTGCCTAAATGGAGACCTGAATAAAAAAGTATCAGTTAATTCGAGCCCATCCCTGATAGGCTTATTTATTAAGGCAGCTAAGGTATTTTCTAAGAATGATTTATAGTATAGGTTTTTAGATTTTACATTATCAACAAGAAAAACAGCAATGAGATCCTTCTTGTCAAAATCAAATTAAAGAATCTAACATGTAATTTTTATCTTTAAGGCTGTGCAATCTCCATACAATTCAGCGCAAACAGTTTTCCAACTTTTGGCGAATAATACAAATACGGTAAATGATTTCTAATGATGAGAGGGGGTGGGGAGGGTAGTGATGTGCCCTAAAGAGACTCTAAAGGAAAAATGAAAGGGGGTATAGGCTGAAAGCTAATCACTTTAGCTCTTGATCGCGACCCATGTAAGTTTTATCTGATGTTCCTGTCTCGAGAAAATGATATAAAACTGTGTTAAAATTATACGAAAGTTCACATATGTAAAATTTAGAAAATCTTAAACTTAAATCACGTGACCAGAACTATCACCAATGGCAGAGCAGTATACTGATCACGTGTCTCTGCCTGTATCACGTGACCACTTTACTGCACTGTCATTGGTGGATTTT